TGCTAGTTTAACTCTAATTGTGTGGATCCAAGACTACAAAGGTTGGGACTGGGGCTTGGGGATATCTTCTGCAGCCATCTTTTTCGGCGTGGTCATCTTTACTGCCGGACTGCCACTGTACCGAATGCATATTGTTTCTGAGTCCAGTGCAATCGTCCAAATTCTACAGGTATGCTGAGTTTGAAGCTTAATCATATAAAGAACTTCATCCAAGAACATTCTTACTCCTGTTCAAATGATTGTTCTTTCTAGGTATATGTTGCAGCCATTCGTAACAGAAACCTTGTCCTTCCCGAAGATTCTGCAGATCTCTATGAGATTGAAAGGGACAAGGAAGCTTCTGTGGAGGAAGATTTTCTTCCTCATAGAAACATCTACAGGTTTGGTTTACATGAAAAATTGTTTGAGCTTTCTGCTTTGGCTTTCTAATAATAGCATTAAACGCCTTGATAATTCGAAAAAACAGGTTTCTAGACAAAGCGGCAATTCAACAAACACCTTGTGGGCAAGTTGAAACGCCTGAAGTTTCAAGCCCATGGAAAATATGCAGAGTCACCCAAGTTGAGAATGCAAAAGTAATTCTTAGCATGGTACCAATTTTCTGCTGCACAATCGTAATGACGCTTTGTTTGGCCCAACTCCAAACCTTCTCCATCCAACAGGGCCTCACCATGGACACAAAACTCACCAACTCTTTCCACATCCCTCCAGCGTCACTCGTCATCATCCCAGTCTCCTTCATCATCCTCATAGTCCCAATCTACGACAAGCTTTTCGTCCCCTTCGCGCGAAAGCTCACAGGCATCCCCACAGGAATCACCCATTTACAAAGAGTAGGCGTCGGATTGGTTCTATCCAGCATCTCCATGGCCGTCGCAGCTTTAATGGAAGCGAAACGCAAGGGCGTTGCGAGAGACCACAACATGCTCGACGCAACCCCTGTTTTGCAACCATTGCCAATCAGCACCTTCTGGTTATCTTTTCAATTCTTCATATTCGGAATCGCAGATTTGTTCACGTATGTAGGGCTTCTGGAATTCTTCTACTCCGAGGCGCCGAAATCCCTTAAATCTGTTTCCACTTGCTTCCTATGGAGTTCAATGGCTTTGGGCTACTTCTTGAGCACCATAGTCGTGAAGATTGTGAACAGTGCTACGAAGGGAATTACGAGAAACGGAGGCTGGCTGATCGGAAACAACATCAATCGGAACCATTTGAATCTCTTCTACTGGTTGCTTTCAATATTGAGCTTCATCAACTTCTGCATCTATGTATCTGTTGCCAAGAGATACAAATATCGAAACCATAAATAAATCAACTCGCCTAACAAAAAAAAATCGTAATCTGAATCGTTTTAATTCCATCTCTTCGATCCAAATATGTTTGAATTTTGTTCTTCATAATATATGAAATTGTAGAGGAAAAATGATATGAAATCATTCTGTTGCAACTTATAAACTTCCATTGAAATTAATTTGTTTGTGGAGATTCTTATATTAATTCTTTTTTCTTCACTCCGATTATATCATCTATTTATTACAAGAAAATAAAAAATTAAAATGACGACTCAAAGCCATACTCTTTGGCCACGTGTGCATGAAACTCAAATCTCCCATTGCACCACTTGGGGGTAGAATATCACTACTCTCAGCCACGTCGGCGCCACGTGCAAGCAAACGTGGCTGATTTTTAGACGATTACAGAGTCCCTCGCCTTACTATTTCATCCCTTCTTCCCCGGTCGGAAAAAATAGCCTACAGACCTCCGGAGAGCATCAAAAGAACGATATAATGGCCACGATCGGGGACCAACCGGCGGCGTTGAGAGAGAGTGGCGAAGAGCGACAGCCACCGGGCGAGAAAATGGGAGTGGGGCAACACATATTGGACAAAGGCAGTAGCATGTTGCAGTCGCTGAAGCCGGTGAAGCAGGTCAGCCAGCACGCTTGCTCTTTTGCCCTTTACGGCGATGACCTCAGCCGCCAGATCGAAACGCATCATTACATCTCTCGCCTTAACCAGGACTTTCTCCAGTGCGCCGTTTACGATTCCGACGCCGCCGATGCCCATCTAATTGGTTAGCTTTCTACCAAACTAATTTCATATCCTCTGTTTTCATCCCCTGCCGTATTGCTTTATCCTCTTCCTTTCAGGCGTTGAGTATATCGTGTCGGATCAGATCTTTGAAACTCTGTCTCCTGATGAACAAAAGCTTTGGCATTCCCACGCATACGAGATAAAATCTGGGCTCATGGTTCATCCACGAATCCCAGAGATGGTAGCAAAGCCAGAATTGGAAAACCTCGCCAAATCCTACGGCAAATTCTGGTGCACATGGCAGGTGGACAGAGGTAATCAACTGAAAATTTTTCATTATGGTGATTAAAAATTGGTTCTTGATATCATACACACAGGCGACAAGCTGCCGATGGGAGCGCCAGCGCTGATGATGTCACCGCAAGCAACAGGGGCGGGAGTGGTGAAGGCGGAGCTGGTGCAGAAAAGGGACGACTATTATAACATTTCGACAGACGCAATTAAGGGGTCTCGAGTTGAGATCGAAGAGCCGGAGTGGATTAATCCGCAGGCTGATTACTGGAAACAGCACGATGGGAAGGGGTTTGCCATCGATGTAGTCCGGACGGACATGAAGTTGAGGGCGCCGTTCCCTTGACAGAGACGGGCGCGTAAGGGTCTGGTTTATTGGGTTTGTTTGTGGTGAGTGCGATGCATAAGGGCATGTAAGAAAATATCAATAGATCATGAATAAATGAATAAAATTGGTCTCTGTTATCTTAGAACAACACATTTTTAGTATAAAATAAACAAATTAGGAGTGTAGCTTCCCCAAATCTCTCAGAACAGTTCAGTCAACGCCGACCCTCTGCCACCAATTCCTCACATCACCATATTAACACGTAAACCAAATCGCACACTTTAATCTCTCCGTTTTCTTCACTTCTTTGCTCCAATGGCGAACCCCAATTCCGCCCCGATCGAACCCTGTGAAGGGGAGTTGTATTCGGTGTGGGCTCTTCCTCCAGAAGATGTCGCCACCAAAATCATTTCTCTGATGAGCAGCCTGAGATCCGAGTTTGGCGGCCCCGAATTTGAGCCGCATATCACCGTGGTTGGGGCAATTCGTCTCACCCCTCAGGATGCCCTCAATAAATTCCGATCAGCTTGCGAAGGGGTCAAGGCTTATCAAGCCACCGTGGATCAAGTTTCCATCGGAACCACCTTCTACCAGTGCGTTTTTCTCCTCATTCATCCCACCACCGAGGTGCTTCCCTCTCATCCTTCCGTCTGCATCTCATCGTTTGGGCTTTTTTATGTTTAATTGTCCTCCTATTCTCTCTGTTTTCTTCTCAGGTGGTGCAGATCAGCTCACATTGCTGCGGCCATTTTGGTTACAACAACTCCACCCGTAAGTTCATTCACATTCAAAATCATGAATTGGCTCTGCTTTTCCCTTTCCTTGGGATTGTTATGAGCATACTGAAAGCTCTTAATAATGATACAAATGGCATTATCCCCCAAATGATCTAATCTAAACACTCCAAGTATGTGTGTGTGTATCAGCTTACATGCCGCATTTGAGCCTACTATATGCGAACATATCAGATGAAATGAAGAAGCGGGCGAAGGAAATAGCGGACAAACTGAATGAAGCCGTGAACGGCCTGAAAGTGCCAGTCACTCGACTTGCATTGTACAAAACAGACACTGGCGATGAAACTCTCAAGTCGTGGGAGAAAATTGCAGAGCACGATCTTCCTTCAAGTTAGCTTCTGTTGTTTTTTTATGTATGCCCTCTTCGAGATTAATTATGTTGTTTTCGACAGTCTCTCTACTTCTGTAGACTTGTTTAACTTCTGGAAAATAAAAGGCCTTGTTTGAAAGCTTACCAAGCTTCATGTTTAGGCTTACTTTTTTTCATTGATTGTAATATGAAGAAGAATCAAAGTTGCCGACGTTATTGCTTTGTTGCTCGAACGTAGTGCTGAAGTTGACGTCTCCTACTCGAAATTTAGCTGAATATGTAAAAGAAACTCAAAGAAAATGTATTTTCACTCCACCCCATTTACAATTCTAATCCCCAAGTTCAGCCCAAAGTTCAGCCCATTGTTCGGTCACGTAATGGGTCTAAGCGGACATATATTAGTGTTAAAAACCTCTCAGTGGGTCATGGGTCAAAACGGACATCTGTTAGTGGTAAGCTTAGACAATTACACACCTCCGTGTGCCAAGAGGACGATTGTGAGATTTTACGTCAGCTTTATAGGAGGGAGAGCAGACGTTGGTCGGTGTGCCAGGACGTGTTAAGAGGGGTCGGTGTGCCAGGACGTGCCAAGAGGATGATTATGAGATTATACACGTTGATAAGTAATGGGTCAAAACAGGTGGGTCGGTGTGCCAGGACGTGCCAAGAGGACGATTATGAGATTACACGTCGATAAGTAATGGGTCAAAACAGGTGGGCCGAAACGGGTAATTTCTGTTGGGCAACAATGCATGCAAATGAATAGGGTAAACTTTTCAAAATTTTTGAAAGTTATAGCATTATTGTTCCTTGAAGAAAAGAAAATAATAATTGGTTCCCATGTTTTCCAGGAACATTATATGAATGCTCAGCCACAAATTGGGCACATGAAGATGTTTTGGTTACATGAATCCATATTTCGTTTTGAATACCTTTTTGTTTGAACCGACACTCAAAGCCTCAGCTCAATTAATAATACTATCGCTCAAAGTTCTTAAACACAGTGCTTAAAAGCTTCTTAACTTATTATTCCAAGCATCTCTCGTCAACTCAAGAATATATGTCATTATCTTTTTATTCTCTCTAATTCGTGTCAAGATTTTTAACCTCAACCCCAATTCTGCAACTTCACTTTACTCTACCCTTAAAAAGGATTAAGGAACAAAATCCCCTCATTAGCACAATGAATGATAATGAAGTTTAGAGCTAAAAAAGCTGAATTGGATTGAGTTATTAGTTGAATGCTTTGTAAATCACCCACTCCATAGCTGCTGATATAAAGGGTCACTTTCTTTACTTCATTAATACACACACCTCCCTCTTTGGCTACCTTACTTCTATTTCCCTCTTCTCTTCCCCTAACCTTTTAGAACACAAGCTGTGTGCATTGATCTTCCTTAAACACAGCAAACAGCCCTTCTTTTTGTTCTGTCTTGGGAGTTCCGTCTTCAACCAGCTCAGGTTAGTGATCGAAATAAAACAAAGCTTTGATTCAGCTTCTGATTGTGTTGCTTATTCACATGTAAATCCACAAAAAAAGGAGATTAGAAGTGATAGAGCAAGTTTTTTAGCCTCAAAATCTGCATCTCACAATATATCTTCTCTATTCTTCTACCTCTTTTGGGATCATCAGAAGAGGGGAAGCTGAAAAATGAAGATTTGGGGTTTGATTGATGACTGATCTGCTTGGATTTGGTTTAGGTAAGAAGCTAATAAAGGGTTCCAGAATCAACAAGAGAGGAGAGGATGTCTGATTCAGCTCAGAAGAAGATGGGAAGAGGAAAGATTGAGATTAAGAGGATCGAAAATACAACAAACCGTCAAGTCACTTTCTGTAAGAGACGAAATGGACTTCTCAAAAAGGCTTATGAGCTTTCTGTTCTGTGTGATGCTGAAGTTGCTCTCATCGTTTTCTCAACCCGTGGCCGCCTCTATGAGTATGCTAACAACAGGTAAACAACAACACTCCTAACCTCGTACATTATTTTCTTCAAATGTTCCTTTCTCCGCTTGATTTGTGCTTTTTTCTTCTCAAACTTGTTGCTGATATGGATCCTGGAAGGTTTTAACTCAGCTTTTAGGAAGACCAAGATTTTGGGAATCTGGGTTGCGTTAAGAATATAGTCTTTTTTTGAAAGATTTGAGTTTTATGATATCAAAACTTACCAAATTTCTTTGATTTTTCTGAGTTTTTTTTGCTATAATTGATGAGTTAGATGGTTTTGGGCGTGGTGGATACATAGATCTGGTATAACAGATGAAAGATAGGGCATATTATGGAAGGTTCAAATGAGTAAGGGTTTTGGTAAGCTTATGGTTATATCTGAGTTCAGCTCTTTACCTTCCACCATTAGTCCAATCCCACTTCATCTCCTTCACATTTCCTCAATACAAACGTCAGTTGAACATAAAGAAACAGAAAGTAAGACCATATTAGGGTTTCAAACTTGTGGGTTTCCTTGAAACATGCTAAAACACCCTTTTCCAACCAATCACCTCCAACTCAAGATTGAACTACCTAATAGGTTTCCATTCAAACTCTGAAATAAAAATCTCATTAGATCTTCAAATATGAACTAATCAATCAATCTTTGTCCGGATCATTAGGGGTAACCCTCTGATTAAACTTGTATTAAACAAACCGAGCTAATTGCAAGTCAGAAACTTTACACAAGTTTAATCCTTGTCCCCTTTGTTTGGGAAATGGGGTGTCTGGTTTCAGGCTTTTGGTTCTGATTTTTGGTCTAGGGCTTCAAGAATCAGCCGAAACAGAGAATGGCAATCCGATTCAAAAAGAAACTAAACTGGGGCTTCTTGATTTTAACAAAAATTTTGAATCTTTGTAAAAAAAAACGTATTTTTAGGGAGAGAGATTAGGGTTTTGAATCACGTAGAACCAAGGTGAGACCTTTAGCATTAATCTTAATAGGACAGCCGCTGTAGCCACTGATGGAAATGGACGGCTGCGATGTACACAGTGTTTGAGACAAAGGGCTTTTACCGCCACTTATGTTTTCCAAGAGTTCTTTTTTTTTAGTTCTTGTGTTGTATCGAGGTGGATAAGAGGGTGGAGTTAAGTTGATTAACCACTATACAAATGCGTGTATGACACTTGGCAAATTCTCATCCCTTTGATTGGATTAAGGCAATCATAATTCGAGATCTCTGTTGGATGTTTCAGACATAGCCAATCACCAGCTCGACGAAATTAAGGTATCAGTGCATCGGTAAAGGAAATCATGGATAAGTTTTGGATAAAAAAGAGTACTTAAATGTGGGAACTTTTTTCTTACCCTTCAAATTCCGTCACATCCATTGAGAAGCAGCTGACCCTTTGATGTGATTTCTATCATTCATTTTGCTTTTTATGGGATTTCGTAAAGGACTGAGTCAACTTGAGAGAGTTGGGTTAATGTGACAGTAAAAAACTTAAAACACGTAGCTTCTTGAGAATAAAAAACATGTTTTAATGCTTTGTTTTTTTGCAAGTGGAAGAACATGATAATTGTAATGATTAAGGAGGTTAATCAACATGATATGATGTTAATTGCAGCGTGAAGACAACAATTGATAGATACAAAAAGGCATCTTCAAATTCTCCAAACACAGGATCTACTTCTGAAACTAACACTCAGGTACACTTCAATTTCAATTTCGTTACATGTGGAGAAATGGGTCTATAAGAAAACTTAATGCATCAAACAATTGAGTTCAAATATAAATGGTCGTGAAAAGGGATTCGCTCACTAGAACTGACTTGTTCTAAAGATTTTCGAGAAGTTTAAGGTTTTGTTCTTCAATATGGAATATTAATTAGTCTATTGAGCTTTTACTGACATCGACACGAACCAATAATAGGTGTACTAGCTACATATTTGATAATGAATTCTGATTTGCTGGTGTTCCTTACTTTATCTTATTAAATAACACCAAATTTTCATACCTAACCCTAACATTTTGTGCTCAATATTTGATATAAGTGGATCATGTTGTGAACCCTCAAAATGGGTGTAACCTTTTATGTTGGGTATCAATCCAAGCTTAAGGATATAAAACTTACTATTGAATGACATGCTAGTTTTACCAACAAGAAGCTGCCAAACTGCGTGTTCAGATTGGTAATTTGCAGAACTCAAACAGGTATGTTAACACGAAATTTATGCAAGCATGTGTTCATCACTTGTTCATCTTCTGAAGGGGATGTTGTTTCCAGGAACATGCTTGGTGATTCTCTAAGTTCTTTGAGTGTAAAAGATCTGAAAAGTCTTGAAAGCAAACTTGAGAAAGGAATTAGCAGAATTAGATCCAAAAAGGTTGGTTTTCTTCCTTATTTTTTTTTAAGTTTCTTCTCTTAAAATAAAAACACTTCCTTTTGCTCTCTCTCTCTTCCAGAATGAACTCCTCTTTGCTGAAATCGAGTACATGCGCAAAAGGGTAAGCTTTTTGTACCCATACTAGTGGTGAACTTTTGGCGGTTACAAATGGTATTAGAGTCAGATACTAGTAAGTGGGCCAGCGAGGGTGCTGGGCTCCCAAAGAGTGTATTACGAGGGGAACGAAACATTTCTTATAAAGATGTGGAAACCTCTCCCTAGTAGACGATTTTTTAAAATCATGAGACTGATAGCTATAGGTAAAGGGCCAAAATAGACAATATTTGTTCCAACGAAACAACTTTCTAAATGGGTCGTTTAAAAGTTGAATTTCCCAATAAGGGTTTCATTGATTTTCCTCCAAATCGTAGAAAAGGCCAATCTTTTGAAGTTTTTGTTGCAAGAACTGTATAATGAATGATGTGAGTATATATTTGTAGAATGAAGTGATTATATATCCTTGAATTGAATGAAAAAAGTTGATCATTACAGGAGTTTGATTTGCACAACAACAATCAGCTGCTTCGAGCAAAGGTCCCCTTTTTTCTTTTTCAATCTCTCTGTCTCTCTCTTAATGAGCAGTTGACATTGAAATTGTAGAAATTGATGCAGATAGCTGAGAGTGAAAGAAATGTCAACATGATGGAAGGAGGAGAATTTGAGCTGATGCAATCTCATCCCTACGATCCAAGAGACTTCTTCCAAGTCAACGGCTTACAACACAATCAACAGTATCCACGTCAAGACAACATGTCTCTCCATTTAGTATAAGGTTCTGTTTTTACAGTTAAATAAGAAGCCATTCTGCCTCTCTGTCTCTCCCATTATCTAACAGAATCCCAACCAAACATTTCGATGCAGTTAATAATAATATGATTTGAAGCACTCTGATTGTTGGATTAAGCATAAAAGAGTGCCCCATCTGCTGGTTGAAAGGTACTCCAAGGAAGTTGAAGATTAACCAAGTCTTAGCTTCTGGACTCAAAAAAGACTTATTCTAATATATTAGTATATCTATAATGTTGTTGTATGCTATGAATCCAAACATTAATAACCTTTCTTTGTCTTAAATCTATGTCTGTGATACAAACGACTAACATCTTTTCTCGTACTTACTGCTGTTTTGTTACTGTTTCATTGTCTCAAATTTCTCTGCTTCTAATTATGATACATTGAAGTTAGCTTTGAATGCGAAGAACAAGATGCTGGAAGTGTTGTTCAGCTAATATATATAATACATTTCATTCTCATTGATTGAAGGAAAGGACTTATAAGCAATTAAAGGAAAGGGCAGACTCTTCCAACTTAGATTGCATAAATTATATAAGTTTGGATTTAAGCTAGAGTTGAACGAGGCGACGAATGTCGATCGGGTAAGCGTCGGAGGGTCCTTGAGCGCTGTAAGCTCTTCTTCCAATAACGGTGTTTCCAGCCTCAGTTGGATGAAAGGCATCCCAAAATAGATACTCTCTTCTGTTAGGACATGGGGTTTGGAAAGGCAAACATGTTATTTGCCCATTGTTCCTCCCAATCCCACAGCACCCAGCATTTGTGACCCTAAAACCTGCATCACCCAAGTAAAAATTTGTGAGATCCCAAGTTGAATGGGGGAGGACGAATCAATTTGTACAAGGGTGTGGAACCTCTCCTTAGTAAACACGGTCATGAAAGGAAAGCCCAAATAAGGTAATATCTACTAGCGGTGGGGTTTGGTTGTTACAAATGACATTAGAGCTAGACACTGAGAGATGTGCTAATAAGGAGGCTGAGCCTTGAAGAGGTGAACACGAGGCAGTGTGCCAGCAAGGACACTAGGCCTGAAGAGAGTGGATTGGGGGATCCCACACCGAACGAGTGCAAGCGAGGACGCTGGACCCTCCCTAGTAAATAAGTTTTAAAAATTTTGAAAGGAAGCCCGAAAGAGAAAAGTTAAAGAGGACAATATCTATTAGGAACGTATTGTTTGCATCAAAACAAGGTGACAAAAAAGACTAATTGTTATACCAAAAGATGAAGGGCTGTTTATGATATCTTGGAAAATCCCATAGGAGTCAACGTAGATGAATCTTGCATCAGGCTGGTCTCTATTGAGTTGATTCACCAGCCCCTTCAGCCTGTTGTTAAACATCTGGTTTGCAGAGTTGTAGCCTTGATTACAAGTTCTCCCATCTGGGCTATTCGCCAGTGCATTTGGGCTGCACCCAATTTGCCCCACTCCAAACAGCACAAACTTCCTTGCTCCATTGTCATACATGATCTAAACACAACTCTTCCCTTTAGAATACAAGAATTCGATCAAAGCCTCACATTGATTAAATAAAGCGACATATAAAACTGCTGACCGATAATTGTTGAGTGTACTGCTGAATGAGAATTTGAGCGTATTGATCAGGCGAGAATCGACGACTAGTCGAATAGACTTGGGGCATGAAATAGTTGTTAAGGTAATCATTGCTACCCAATCCAACAGAATATATACACCTGCCCAAGTAATCAGCAGCTGTGTTTTCATCTCCAAGGATGTCTACAATCTGTTGGACTATGTTTTGGTGATTTCTTACTTGACCACTGAAGGGAATCCTGTCTCCCTGTCACATACATACCCATAATCAAAGTCTTGGTAATAATCAAAGAGGGTAAGTGTCATAACTGAAAAAAAGTTACCAGTTGCTGGCCAGTTTCGTCCCTGATGCCAGCCGCTGCAGACGCATAGTTCACGCCACTAAGTATGTCTCGGCCTCTCGTGTTGGAATAGGCAGGGATGTAGCCATTAAACCCCAACAACTCCGCTGTAAACGATGAGTGAAAATGTTAAAATATCATTATTAGCTCAATAAGTTCAAATCCAATAATGGAACGAGTCAAATACCTCCAAAACAGTGTTCTTATTACAATAAATACAAAGCACAGAGTAGAGTAAGTGAACATGGTCTTAAATCACATACGTTTAACTAAAATGTACGTACCAATGACATCAACGGTGGTCTTGCCGTTGGAGAATCTTCCGGTAGGGCCGCGGGGGAAGTCGATGCCGTATGGGAGGTAATCAGCGCGAGCCAAAGAAGAAAGTTGATTATTATTCCCATTGTCAACTAAAGAGTCACCAAAAATGAAGTAGCAAGGAACTTGCTGAGCGCTACAGCACCACAAGGCACTCATAAAAAGCACCACAGCCACACCCCAGAATAGCTTGGTTGCAACCTCACCGGCCATGGCCACTACAGAAACAGCACTCGAGTTTGTGATGAGAATTCAAAAGGGGGAAAGAGTGTTTAAATAAAAGGGCTTAAAGAATAGGCTTCTTTACAGTTGAGGAAACGAAGACAAGGTCTTTGGCATTAAATTTAGCGCGTATGCATGAGAGCAAAAAGTATGAACTATGAAGGTGGGGTGTCGGATGTGTTTGAAATTGAGAAGTCCATCATTTTTTAATTTATTTTAGTGACAATAATCCGTGTTGACTTGTGGAGATAATATTTACTCGCGAACCAATTTAAAGACATATACATATCTTAATTAAATTGCATAAATAATTAAGCAACTCAAATAAAAAGTTCCCATTAGAAATAGTGAAACAAATATTATTTCTTAATTAAATATTGGATAAATGTCCATGTCAAAAATAAAGGGCAAGTTTTAAATGTAAATAATGGCAAAGTTGGTGACAAAATTTAATGTTTGGGCCTTGGGGGGGGGGGGGTTGGAAGTCCATGCCCAGTAACATGGGCAATCAATTGCCAACGACAATCCACACCTTTCTCTTTTGACCGACATGTCGTCACCAACAAATTTTAATCTTATTTTAATCTATCAATTTGACCTAAAAGACCCTTTTGGTAATTTCCTAATTCCTATTAATATTTTTAATAAACCCATTTTCACGCAAATTCGCAATTAAGACGTGATGGAAAATAAATGATTGATTTTTTTAATCAATAAATGGTTGTTGCAATTGTAATTAAAGGAGTTAGGTTTAATAACACTATGGATGTTGTGGGCCCAGCCTCTTCCACACCGTATTTATCTTCTATTTCAATTTTCATTTATTTTCATACAAATTAAAAAAAAATCCAAATTAATAATATTTCAACTGGGCCGCTCACGCGGGCTTCCTCATTAAAAGGCTCATTTAAAAGGCCCATTATAATTTCAAAAGATATTTTAAAAAATTACTTTGAATAAATAAAGAAAAATAAAAATAGTAATTTTAAGAGAATTAATGAACTAATCTCGTCTATAAAATTTATATTTTTCAGCTCAATCGAAACTTATGAATTGGATTGGGTTGATCAGATTTTTTAACGCTCCTATTAATTAAATTACCACTCATTTATTTATGTATGGGAATAATGAATCGAACAAGCCCAACATAATGTGAATCAGTAATGATACTAATTTGATCGGTATGTATTCTATTATTGTGATTGGTGATGTGCACTACTAAAGTGGAAGATGAGGTGACGGTTGATGATAATCGTAGCTCCATTATACCCAAATATAGTTGACTTAATCTAAGAAAGATTAAAGTTATTTAGATTCATATGTAACGTAACGTCGGAATAGGTAGCTAGGCAGCTTTTATGCCAAATGGGTATGGTGTGTCACTGACAAGTGAAACCTATAGATTTGTTTTATTTGTTTGTTAATATATGGTTTGGATGTAAATGTATAGACAAATTGTGTCCATTCCATTGTTACCAATATTGGCTGGTAACGCATGGGAAATGGGTGGTCCTTTCTTACCCTAAAAAATTGGACTTTAATGTCCAAAAGAAACACAAATTTCCCAACAGCCCATATCTCTTCTCAAAATCAACCCTTCTCTATACACATTTTTGTAACAAAAATTAACATTTAAATATATATACCCAAAAAAATATTCCTTTTTTATTCTTATTCCTTGTTCGTCTGGGCGGCTATAGGTCTTTTCGGTCCTCAGTCTAGTATTAAAACACGAGAAAAAAAAGTTGACAATGGTACCCTTCTGGAAAATGACTCACGACTGTCCATTATAGTATGATATTGTCCACTTTGAGCATAAGCTCTCATGGCTTTGCTTTGGGCTTCCCCAAAAGTTCTCACACCAATGGAGAGAGTATTTTTTTTATTATAAACCCATGATCATTCTCTAAATTAGCTGATGTGGGACTTGCATCATCCAACATGTATAATTGATCAAGATGTTATAAGTTTAAATCTTCTACACATATGATGTGAACTTCCACATCGGTTGGAGAGAGTAATAAACCACTCCTTATAAAGGTGTGGAAAACTCTCCCTAATATACACGTTTTAAAATTGTGAGGTTGATAGTGATACGTAACGGCCAAAACCAAGGTTGTTGGGCAGGTTAAAATGACATTTATTGTGTAAAATAAACTCAAGGGAGGTTAAAAATTCAATTAACATACTTAAATTAACTCCATATTTTATATTCTAACCTAAATGACATTTATGGTTTAAACTGAATTAAATATACAATTTAATGTCAGAATATTGAAAAAAAAAATGTCAAAATTATTATAAATACAAAACCTTTCCTGAAATAATGGCGAAATTAGGTTCATATTTAATCCACCATTTAAAGAAAAAATATATATATATTATATATATTTAAAAGAATAAAAATTTAAATAGAAATTGCAAAGTTGACCAACTTTAAGCGAAGTGATGAAAAGATGAGGTGAAAACCAAATAGATGCGAAATTTGAAAAAGATGGTTTACCAAAATTTAAAAATAAAAAAGATTTTTTTTTTTTTTTTTTGTCTATAAATTCTCTCTCTGAATTTCGCCATTGACAACAAAATGGAGATATCAAGTTTGTTCTGCCTTCTCCTGCTGCTGCTCCTCCTCCCACCCTCTTCTTGCCTGGCTCAAAAACAGGTCGGATTTGTGTTCTCCAAACCACCAATAATTCTAATTTGTTCTATTAAGTAACAATATTATGTGATGATGTTAGGCTTACATTGTGTACTTTGGAGAGCATTCCGGAGATAAGTCATGGGAGGAGATAGAAGAGAGGCACCATTCGTATTTGATGTCTGTAAAAGACACTGAAAACGATGCAAAATCCTCTCTTCTGTACAGCTACAAGCACACCATCAATGGGTTTGCTGCCGTGCTTACCCAACAACAAGCCTCCAAACTTTCAGGTGAATTTCGTTGATTACAACAAGTGTTGAGGTTGGGCATGTGTTTGTTGTTTAAATGATGGGTTTTGTTTTTGGGGCAGAATTGGAGGAAGTGGTGTCTGTAATTGAGAGTAAAAAGTATGGCATGCACACGACAAGGTCGTGGGAGTTCTCTGGGGTTGAAGAAGATAAGCCCAGGCTTAGTGATTTGGTTTCTAAAGCCAAGGCTGGAAAAGATGTGGTGATTGGAATGCTTGACAGTGGTAATTGTGTTTCACTGTTTCTCATGTGATTCCACTTTTTCTGGAATGTTTCTAAGCCAAATGCACGGGATTTTTCTCTCTCTCTCTCTCGTATTATTGTCATGTTTTGTGCTGTGATCTTGATTGCATGTGATAATTCTGACGTCCCGTTTTGAATTTTGTTATTATATAATAAGGGGTGTGGCCAAAATCAAAGAGCTTTAGCGATAAAGGAATGGGACCCGTTCCAAAATCATGGAAGGGAATCTGCCAAACAGGACCTGCCTTTGAATCATCTCATTGTAATAGGTGCACTCTCTCTTCTTCATTGCTTTCTTTTCCTCTCTCAAAATCCAAAATTTGACCGATATTGTCTTCTTTCTACTTTTTCTCCTTTAAAATTTTAAAACAAATGAAATCTTTATACAGAATGTTTGGTTTTTCTCTTCATCCACATGGGATTCTCACAATTTGTTAGTTGGTTTCACCTAAAACGTGAATCCCTTTAGGTTCGAGTCATTTTATTCACCATCTAACTCATTGTTTAATGTTTTTCTCGCTCAAATAAATCTTTCTATAACATTTAGGGCATATATAAAGATTTATTACACAATTTACTAGAGAAATAAACTATATAATTGGAATCTCATGCATATTTTGTGAGAAGTTTTCACATCCTTATAAGAAATACTTGGTTCTCCGATAAGAGATCTCACAATCTAATCGTGTCATTGACACCGCACTCCATGCGGGTGTGGTGGCGTTGGTTTGGTTGGATTGTCATGTTAGCTTTTTAGAAGTTTGTGGGTTGTGTGTAGAGTTGAGTGTGAGCTAAGCTTTTGTCAGCCTTGATATCAAACAAATTTTAGTGGGGTTTTTTTTGCCCCACAGCCTTCATGGCCATGCATCTTGTGGAGATATACATTAGGACAGCCAACCAAAAACGAGGCATCGCTTTCTGTTGAAGGTCACAGGTCACAATGTGTGTGCCCTTTTTACATTATTATTATTCCTTACATATCTCCTCCTTTGGGTTTGGTCTGATTTGACATTGAGAACCCATCACTGTTCGTCCACTTTCTTTTCCTACTATGTTGGAATTGACAACCACTCCCTTTTTTCAGATTCTTTCATTGCTATCCTAAATCCATGAAGTGAAAACCAGAAAAAATGGCTCAAAAGTAATAATGAAAACCCAGATGTTTCACCAAACCCATCCTTAATTCCTCCTCCTCATCATTTCTACCTTATACTTTTCCTTTTTGTCGTTTTACTTTTTAGATTCCTCCAAATGTTTTTTCGATAAAGTGTTTAGAGATAAGATTCGATTCAACAAATAGTTCAGATCGACTCTCGATGATAACTAGTTATAAATTTGTGTTTGTGGAGCTAATATCTAGCTCGAGAAGTATGTTGTTAAATTTCTACCCCGTTTGAGAACATCCCAATAGCACTCAAAATTTGTCAATGGTAGCCATAAAAAGATGACCCAGCAAAAACATTTATAGGGTTTAGGTTGTAAGGTGTTATTTATGATAATTACTCAAAAAAAAAATTTATTTATAATCTTTTTAATGAATTTGAGTTATGCTTCGGAAGTTGAAACACTAACGCGGTAGATTTTATTTATGATTGAGAATTTTCAGAAAGATAATTGGAGCTAGATATTATGTAAAGGGATATGAGCATCATTTTGGTCGTTTAAATGAAACGACGGACTTCCGATCACCGTGCGACATGGACGGCCATGGATCACACACCGCCTCCATTGCAGGTGGCCGGAGGGTCTACAACGTCTCGGCCTTCGGTGGCGTTGCACGGGGCACGGCCTCTGGTGGCGCCCCAGGGGTTCGATTGGCAATATACAAAGTTTGTTGGGCGATTCCCAACCAAATGAAAAGTCTGGGAAACGTTTGTTTCGACACTGACGTGCTGGCCGCCATGGATGATGCCATTTCCGATGGCGTCGACGTTCTCAGCTTGTCCATTGGAAAATCGGATCCGTACAATTACACCGATGACGGAATCGCCATCGGAGCTCTTCATGCCGTTAAAAGGGACATTGTGGTGTCTTGTAGCGCCGGAAATAGTGGGCCTACGCCGTCCACGTTGTCCAATGTTGCACCGTGGATCATCACTGTTGGAGCCAGCACCGTGGATCGGGAATTTTACTCTCCTGTCATCCTCGGAAATGGGTTGAAAATTAAGGTTAAACATAATTAATTACATTCTTTAATTTTAATTACAAATTTGACAATATAGTAATTGGGTGGAATTTTAGGGATTGTCGGTGGCGCCGTCCAAATTGAGGAGGAACAAAATGTACCCATTAGTGTATGCTGTCGATATACAAAAGCCACATGTTCCCCGAAACGAATCTGGGTACGTAATTATTAACTCCCATTTAATTTAATATTTATTTTAGTTATTCACTCTATGTAGTTTATAATAATTATATATATATATATATATTTTTTAATTTATTTGGATTTTGTTTCAGATCATGTATTGCAGGCTCGCTTTCACACAAGAAAGCCAAAGGAAAGATAGTGTTGTGCTACAGAGGACAAGGAATCAGCAGATACGCCGGCAGCCTGGAAGTGAAAAGGTCCGGCGGTGCTGGAATGATACTCGGGCTCGTGCCGGCGGTGGGAGCGAGGCTGCACGCGGATCCCCATTTTGTTCCGGCAACGGCGGTGTCTTACGACGATGCAAATAGGATCCTTAAATATATAAAATCTCACCGTAATCCAACCGCCACTATTGTTCCACCCATCACCATCTACGGCTCCAGGCCGGCGCCGGCCATGGCCAATTTCACAAGTAGAGGTCCAAGCCTCGTCGACCCTCATTTTCTCAAGGTGTTTTTTTTTTCATTAATCTTTCAGAAAATTGCGGGATTTGAGGAGTTTTGACCTTTTAATTTTGGTCAAAATTGCAGCCTGACATAACAGCACCTGGAGTGGACATATTAGCAGCATGGTCAGAAAAAGATTCCCCGACAAAACTCCCAAAATCCTTTGACCCTCGTATTGTGAAATACAATATCTACTCCGGCACTTCCATGTCCTGCCCTCACGTCTCCGCCGCCGCTGCCCTCCTCCGCGCCATCCACCCCACTTGGTCCCAAGCCGCCATCCGCTCAGCCCTGATGACCACCGCCACCACCACCAACAAATACGGCCACCCCATCACCGACGACTCCACCACCGACAACTCCCCTGCCACTCCTTTCTCCTTTGGGTCTGGCCACTTCCGCCCCACTAAGGCTGCGGACCCCGGGCTTGTGTACGACGCCAATTACACGGACTATCTCCACTACCTCTGCGGCCTGAAAATGAACTCCATTGACCGCTCCTTCAAGTGCCCTCCACGTGCCCTCCACCCCCACGATCTGAATTACCCTTCCATTGCTATCCCTAAACTGAAAGGCGGTGTGAGGATCAAAAGGACGGTGACCAACGTGGGCGGGGGAGGTAAAAGTGTGTACTTTTTCGAGAGCTGGGCGCCTCCGGGCGTGGCGGTGAGGGCTTCTCCCAGTGTATTGTACTTCGATAGGGTTGGGCAGAGGAAAAGGTTCACGATTACGGTGAGTGGGAAAGTGAAGGGTAATGGATACTCCTTCGGTTGGTTCGCTTGGAGTGATGGGGTTCACTATGTCAGAAGCCCAATTGCAATTTCTTCAACCTAAAATCATATTTATTCTACCGTGCATTCATAGTTAATAATATTGGGGTAAACAATGTAGTATTATTATTATTAGGTGTGATATCTGTTGTATATTTACAATCGAGTCAATGTAAAGATGCTCACTTGATCCAATTGGGGTGAACAGAGTGGTCTCTTTATCCGTACTAAGAATCGATTCGAATTGTCATAGAACGAGATTCCTTCCTTATTCCCACCGTGAAAATCTCTACTTCTGCCTCGTGAATTGGTTTATGATACGATAATTTAGCGTATGATCAAGCCTTGAGCCACATTTTGAGAAAAATATTTTATAAAATGTACGCAAACAAATAGTTGAAAACAAAATGAAAGAAATTAAAATGAACTAAGAAATATCAATCCTACAATATTATTGAAATTATCAAAAGATATTTCAATTTATGCCACATTGAAGAAGATTGAAGTTTCATGTTATAAATTTTGGGTGGATTACCATTTAGATTATTGTATTTCATTAATGTATTTTAAGACTTTTTATTTACTTTAAGTTACAATTACATTATGGTTAATTATGGCAAGTATGAATGTTACCACTCTTGAAATGTTTTTAATAGTTTGATTTTGAGGCTATATCCATCTATATTGTATTTGTAAATGAACTTGGAAAATATAGTAAAGGAAGCCTTTGTGTTTTCTTTAGCCAATGACTAAGTTTCTTCGCAATTCTATATAGTTTAGGTTGCATGTTGAATTATTCAAGCTTGACATTATCAATCTTACTTGTTGAGTGATTCGAATCTCAATCAAGTGTTATTGCCTTGAGATATTTGATCAACAAGAATCATTCAAGCTAGACATGATCAATCTTGTTTGTGGAGTGATTTGAATCTCAAAAAGTGTTTTTGCCTTGAGATATTCGATCAACAAAGTAATCTGAATCTTATTCCTCCTTCCACATATCAGAAAGTACTATGAAAGGCAATTGAATTGAAAATATGGAGATTATAATACTTGGTTGGAGTAGACATGATTTTGTCTGTCATTAAAAAACAAAATATAATATAAAATAACAAAATATGAAAGCTTAACACACTTTAGACAAACATGACATTATCGGTACCTTAACGAGTATTATTTTATTTAAAAAATATTTCATATATAAAAGAGAAAAAAAAAAAAATGATTGTGCAAGGATGTCACCTTCAAGCGAGGTATGGGGTGACGTGTTGGATAACGAGTGGCTTGTCGTATTCGGAACTATTTTTTTCTGCTTCGAGACATGTTAACGCTTAATCCAAAAGTTGTAATTCAATAAATAATAATTAATGACACATAATTCGTGGGCCCCACTCCGTCGACGCGGCGCACAAGCCGTCAGATGCGGCTAATTAATTTTACCTTTGCAAAACACTCCTTAATCTTTTCGGGATTCCCGATCTAATCATTTGATTTTGAATTTTTTAGGCATTAATCCTCCATCGACTCGGCTCCGGCTCGGCGCGCTGCTTTTAAGATTACAAAATAATCCTTTCATCTGCTTCCTAATAGTATTCTGTCCCCACACGTATGTCCAGCTATTATCGGTAATTATAAAAATAATATTAATAGAAAGAGTTTGTAATTTTAATATTATTAGAAAATCATAATATTAAATATTAACCCATTTTAATTACAAACATTATTAACCCATTTTGGCCAAGTCAACCTTGAAGCCACATAGATTAAGCTTTCTTAATACACCAAAAACCCCAACTCCCCACGCAACCAAGCTGTCTCCCGCAGCCCACTCATCCAAAATCAAACCCTAATGTCAAAACATTGTGTATGTTTAAAGATACAAAAACGAAAAAGCTCGTAGACTCTGGACAATACGTTCGATCATAGGTGCTCCTTAAATCGTTAAACTACATAGAGAGTTTTGCCTTTTGGTCGAGCCAATCACGTAGAGCGAGGACCGGGTCGAATCAGAAAGGGTTTGATGACTCATTAACCTTTGCCCTTTGAGTGACGCCATTTAAGATTCTCCTTTTTTTTTCTTTTTTTTTTTCCTTTTTCCCCTTTGCCTATAAATCCCATTCATTTCATACAAAACCCATTCATTCTTTTTCCTCATCTCTCTAATTTCCAATCCCATGGCTGAAGAATTCCACGAATCCGACATCATCTTCTCCGACCACCGCCGCCGCCTCTTCCACTCTTCCCTCGACCATACCCAAATCCTCGTCACACCTCATCGGAACTCCAAAAACAACCACAAACATTCCGCCGCCTCTAGTCTCCCCATCAAAATCCCAGAAACCGTTTTGCGTTCCCCCTCCAACGCCGGGGAGCTGGACGAGGAATGGGACAGTGACGACAATATAGTCCCGCCGCACATGATCATCAGGCGGCGCCTGGCCGGAAAGATGGCCTTCTCTGTCTGCACCGGCGATGGAAGGACGCTTAAAGGAAGAGATTTATGCCACGTTCGAAATTCAATTCTTAGGATGACTGGATTTCTCGAAACTAATTGAATTTTAATGGGTTTCTAAATCTTTCCTACCAAGATTAATATCATTTTTTCATTATAGATCTTTAAATATATTCAATTTTGTATTTAATAGTTCATTATCGCTTAATCTTCATCCAATTAACACTTAAAATATTTGGATTTTTTGCAAACATAAATATAGTCAACATGTCACATTAAACATAAATCTCTCTTAAATATACATTCAATTTTAGCCGTATTTATATCAATTTAAAAAACTAGAAATTTTATTTATTCATAGAACTTTAGTTCAACTTAAATACAAATTTATTTATTTGGTTACATTATTATTTTATAGAAAAATAAAGAAAAATTATGAGTATGTCGTGGATAATCTTCCTAAAAATATAGATGGATTTGTGCTCGGTTGGAAAAAATAGGATAAATATGTCGAACCTGAATCAAGTCTCATTTTTTATGATTTAATTTTAATAATAATTTTGATTAATTTAGTTTCAATTTAACATACGAAAAGTTGTAGATTTTTAGTATAATCTTGACCAATATGTAGTTGACGTATCAGAGCATCACGTTCAAGAAATAATCTAAATGGTCTAAACTATATGAATAAAGTTGAGCATCGTATTCTCATAACACCACTGATACGATCCACTTTATAATTGCTACAAATGATTGGATTCAAATCGTCACTACAAAGATATGCGAGCAAAAACATTATCACGTAATATTTAATCTCTTTTTATAAATCATCCAAATTTCAATTTTTTTATGTGAAAATAATAACAATAATTATTAACTCAAGACAACAAGAATTTTTTTTGTTCCATTTAAAAATTTGTTCTGGTAATAAATGGTTAAAGACAACTATAAGTTTCTTAGTAAGGAGATAAAAAATTGGTGAATATAAATAAATTCAAACAAATTTTCGTTGGTGTCGATCAAACTAATCTCGTCAATTCTCTTTGATTGGATATATAAGAAGGGTAGACGTGATTGAACAAAAAAGAAAAATAAAGCATTCAAAGTTAAAAAACGAATGAATCTTTTGATAAACTTCTGCATCATTTCATATCTTCTAGTGATAACGACAGCGACGGAGAAACTCTCTTCTGCAGGCCCAAATGTGTATACGACGCCATTGACAAAATGGACGGTGACGATTACTAACCAAATGAGTCCAGGGCAGATTTTGTTTCTTCGATGTAAATCCAGAGATGATGATTTGGGTGCTCAAACGCTACAGGTAGATCAAAGTTTCTCGTGGAAATTCAAAGTAAATTTATTATCAACCACCCTTTTCTGGTGTAATCTACGTACCTCATCAAACAAGCATGTGTCAATGGAAGTGTTTTGGCCAGAGAAACATGAATGGCTTGGGTATAGATGCAATTACGAGTATTGCTATTGGGATGTTAGAGACGATGGCATTTATTTGGACAATCTTCCTAAAAAGATAGATGAATTTGTGCGTGGTTGGGAAAAATAAGATAAGTATGTCATGATTGAGGATGAATAGATTAACTTTTATCTAAGTCTATATTTCATATTAAATACATCAATAAAATAATAAAGAAAAAATGAAAATAAAATTTTAAATGTCTAAATTTGAATTATCTCCGTAATTTGTCAACCACATCTTTTTTATTTATTTATTTTTATCTCCTACTATTTATAAATTGTCTATAATTGGTAAATAATAATTACTAAAAATATTTGGATCCCAATCAATCTCCTCCTATATAAGATACAAAAAGTAGGTCAAATTAAAACCACAACATAGTCTCAAAAAATAAATGCACCTCTTGAGCCATTGCTGCATCTTTTCATGTCTTCTTGCGATGATGGCAATGCCATCATTCACAACACCAACATTCCCTCGCCCAAAACAACATACGTCAGCATTGACTGAATGGAACGTGACGATGAAGAACAACTTGGATCCAGGCCATACCATGTTAGTTCACTGCAAATCAAAAGACGATGACTTGGGTGATCATAAGCTAAATGTGGGACAAAGTTTCTCGTGGAAGTTTAGAGTAAATCTTTTAGCAAACACCCTTTTTTGGTGTAATCTAAATACCTCGTCAAACAAACACGTGTCGATGGAAGTATTTTGGCCGGAGAATAAACATGACTGGCTTGGTGCTAAATGCAACTATCAGCTTTGCGTGTGGGTAGCTCAAGAGGATGGCATTTATTTGGAGGATCTTCCTCACAAAGTATATTTGTTCGTTCGTGGTTGGGATAAGTAGGACGAGCATGTGCTTGATTTGAGATTATTGTTGTGAGCCATATCAATATTTATTGGAAATGTTTTATTATAATAATATTTAAATAAGTCATTTCCTATAATTTCCATATCTTCCCCTCTTAATATTATCAGATATTTTTTAGATAATGTTCAAGTTTTATCGTTCTAACTTCTCAATATGTACGTCATATTGATTTTAAATTTAAAGTATAAGAACATAAATTTAAAAAATTAGAAAGGTTTTATTTTAACTTAATTTTTTTTAAAAAAATATAATTATTAGAACCTAAAATAGAATGATAACTAAAAATAAC